GTTATTATCAAAAATTGCTCCAAAGTTTGTTCTATTAACCTTTGATCTATCAGGTCTTTTACTTCCACATGCATTATAAGCTTTTTTATTACCAACAATACAAGAACCAATAGTACATGCTTTTTTTTTGCACCTTCATTATTATTTAGATTTTTTCTTTTTAATATTTTTGTTTACATTTAAATCACAATATATTTTTTCGACAAGAATTACAAGAACTAAAATTAACTTGTAATTTTCTTTTATTACCGTAAACTGCCATATACAAGATCTCTCCAGATATCAGACCCACCCCCATTTTTTACTAATTATTTTCTTTTTTTTACAAATTAATTTTTTTGGTGAAATGTAAGAGACCCTGGTCCTTTATATGGCAGTTTACAATAGTTATCTTTTTTGTTGGTTTTGTTGTTGGTTTTGTTGTTGTTTTTTTGTTATTTTAATTGTTATTTTTGGTTTTGTTTTTTTAGTTTGTTTCTTTTTTGGCACCAGTTTTAATTATCCAATAAGCATACAAGTTCCAAGATTATAAGTTTAATATTTGTTGTTACAAATGCCAAAAGTTGTTTTAAAGTCAAAAGTATTTCAATTAATTCGTTAGATTTATAAAGAAGTATACAAAGTGAGATTATTATTAAAAAAGCAGCAAATATTAAAATTCAAATAGGTGATATACAAAAGAAAATCTGACATTTATTGTTTTAAAAAAAAAAAACGTTATTTATATATTTTTTTATTTATAAAAAAAATAAAAATAATAAATAAAAATAAATAAAAATAAAAAATAAAAAAATAAAAAATAAAAATAAAATAAAATAAAAAAAATAAAAATAAAAGAAAATTATGCTACTATATCTAATTCATTTATATTTTCAATAATCATATTATATATTTTTTTGTTACCAGATTCTGCAAATTTTTCAAATTGTATAATTATTTGTCCTATTAAATATGGGGAAAATTTTTTTACTAAAGTAATAATTGTAAGAATATTTTTTTAAATTTCAAGATTAATTTTTCTTTTTTCTTTTTCACTTTTTCTTAAATCTCTTTTATAATCATTACGTTTTTTAGTAATTTTTTCTAATTCTTTTTTAATTTGATTATAATCACTATGATTAGTAATACATGCATTATATAAGGTTTTATACTTTTCTTTTTTATCTGTAGCTTTATTATAAAGATCTTTCCAAGTTTTTGCTTCTAGTTTATATATTTTTTTATCTTTTTTTAAACCTTCTATTTCTATTTCTTTTGTTGCAAGTGTTTTTTGTAATTCTTTAATTTTTTTTTTATCTTTATCATTTTCTATTTTTAAATTATTAAACATTGTTTTCCATTTTTTTTTCTTTTTTTAATTCAATATTTTGTTCTTTTAATATTTTATTTTTTTTCTTTTTGGCATTAGTGATTTTTTTTTGCTTCTTGATACTTCTTTTTTTTTGGCTATTAAATAAATATTAATAAAATTATAAAATAATAATTAAATAATTAAATAATTACCTGTTAGTTCTTTTTTTAATTTTTAATTTTTTTTTATAAATTCTTGTTTTTGTTTTTTAAGTTTTTCTAGTTAAATTTTATTATTTTTAATTTGTTTTTTCAATTTTGCTTGCTTATTAATTGTTTTTGCATTATGAAGTTTTTGTCTTAAAGATGTAATATTATTTAAACAAGTAGTACGTTAAACATAATAATAATTATATGTAAACAATATTTTTAAATCTTTAAAAATAAAAATTTATTAATTTTATTAATAAAATTTTTTTTTAAAAAAAATACGTAAAACAAATAATATATACTTAAAAAAAATTGATTTTTTTTAACAAAAACAACAAAAATAAAATAAAAATATTTAAATAAAAATTAATGAATAAATTTTGCAATTATTTTTGCATGATCTCTTCTTTTTGAACTTCTAGTAGCAGCAGTTTTTGGGGCTTTTACATTTGCACTTTTAGCTTTATGTACTGCTTTGTATATATTTCTATAGCGTACAAAAATACTACCCTTATAATTATTTGTAATTTGACTATTTTTATTAAGAATTAATCTGTAATCTCTAGTTTTAAAATTCCAGATATATAATTTTGGAAGTCCGACTGCAACTATAGAATCACTATTTGTGGTGAATATTTGAAGTGGTAGTAAAAATAAAATTAAAATAAAGGTATATTTCATTTTTAATGATCACCAATCTTAATACCACTAATGAGTGTTTGAAAATTTTTATTTATAAAGAAAATTTATATTTAATTTGTTTAATTATTGTAATTTCAAAATTTGTTTAATTATTGTTCTTTTTATATTAAAATAATAAATAAATAATTAAAGATTTTGGCATAACTTTTAAATAATTGTGTAACTTAATTTATTTATATATAAATAATATAAAAATAAAATTTTTCAAAGTAATCTTTTTCAAATGTATATGCTTGTAAGTGTTTTTTTTATTTTTTTAAAATATTCTTTTTCTTTTGGTTGCTAATTTTTTTTAATTGTAGTATCATTTGATAATTTTTTCTGTCTCTATAGAGGCTTAAATAAAACTTGCATTATATCTTTATAAAAAATGCTATAATAGTATTATCTGTACAATTATTGCACATTTTTGTTGCAGTATTATTTTGGTTGGAATTATACAGATCTGTATGATTATAATCGATGGCTTCATGCTATTGTTTTTGGAACATTAACATTTTGGGTTTATACAAATGTTGGGTCAATTTATAAAATATTATATGTTTTAACTGTTCGTGAAATATTTTATTGTGATAAAGAAAAAATAGAAATAAAATTTAAAAAATATATTTAAATAATTTTGTAAGTTTATTTTTTTTAAAAAAAAAATAAATTATTTTTTTAATATGATATTTTTTTAAAAAAAAATAAAGGTAATTTTTTTTTTTAAAAAAAATAAACGAACAAACTGAACAACCTGAACAACCTGTACCTGAACAACCCTACTTTTATCAACAAATAATAATAATCAAATATGTGATAAAGCAATTGCTGAATTTAATTATTTAAAAGAAGCTTATAGTGCACTTTATAAACAAAATCAAAGTTTAATTCAAGAAAATGAACGTTAAAAAATGTAGTTGAAGGGTTTAATGATTTTGTAAAAAAAAATCTTGATGATATAGTTGCAAAAATAAATAATAAACTTGAT